AGAAAGATCAAATGACTTCTTCCCAAAGACCAAAAACAAACAAAGGAATGAATACTTGCCTCCAAAATTTCAGGTTTATTTCCTTATCACCCTGCTCTACAATCTCTCCTTAACTCTGCCTGACATTTGTCTTCTTTTGGCACATTTGTTATTTCCTGCTTGATAACATTGTTTTAATACCCAGACTCATTGATATTAGCTTATTTAAATGACAGAAATCTATCTTGATGATTCATTCATGTATTTTAATCTGAATACTAGAGACAAACCATGTAAACAACAAGAATGGAAGAAGAATATAGAGATGTGGTACTTTATAAAGGTGGTTATCTTTTGATAAACATTAAAACTATTACAATCTAAAATGGCATTGTTCTTGCAGTCTTGCTTTCCATAGTAAGCCAAGCATCACAGAATATTTGCTTGGAACGGGTTGCCCAAAGAGGYTGTGGAGTCTCCTTCTCTGGAGATCTTCCAAACCCACCTGGATGCCACCCTGTGTCACGTGCTCTAGTTTCCCTGCTGGAGCAGGGAAGTTGAACCAGATGATCTCTAAAGGTCCCTTCAAAACCTCAACCATTCTGTGATTCTGTCATAATAAGGTACAAAAACCAACATCATTTTCATTTCTTCATGCATTTATACTCCAGGCTTACTGATGTTTGATTAATATCATCTGGCTGACATCAGTGTTAGCATATCTTATTTAGAATTAGTTTTACACATAAATTTTTATTCTTCAGATATTACATAATCCAGCCAGTTCTTGAAAGAAGTGATTTATAAGGTTACAAAGGTACCAGTAGACTTCCTCTGCTCTCCCTCATACCTCTAATCATAATGTGAATAATCTGTAGCTCTTAACCCCCCATTATGTACTCTCAGAATTAATGGGTATGGTAGTTATATTAGAAGTGTTTTCAGTGAGGGCTGAATGGGCCGAAGATTAAAGTTGTCACGCAGAAACAAGCCTTAAATTTCAATGCTTTATAACTGTAAGTGCATTTTCATTATGATATAGAAGTTAGATAAACTAGTGCCATTGAGAGAAACTGTATTTGCATGTTTAGCAATGAATTGAAATCACAGAATCACAGAATGGTTAAGGTTGGAACGGCCTTTTATAACACGCTAACTTTTAAAAAATCACCAAAACCAACATCTTCTGTTGATTCTGAGAAGGAAGATACTCAGCAATTAGAATAAAGGAATAATTCAATCCTTTTTCTCCTTTTTCCCTCACTTTTTCTTTCTTTCTTTTTTTTTTTTTTTTTTTTAATTAGCAAGCTGAATTGATTTGCTAAATCAGATTAGCATCTGAACTAACTGAAAAGTGGAGGGATAGGAGGGTTGGCTATTAAGTACTGAGATGTGGATCTGCCATGCTCAAGGTGAGACTGCAGCTAGTGGGGACATATCTTGTTCCTGAGATTGTTGCTTTTCCTTCAATTCCAGGGTGGCAAATGAACCATATTTCTATATGCCTTTTTATTTTTCAAAATATGGGGTAAGAGAAGAGATATGTAAGAATGCAGACTATTCATAGAGTAAAATGACAGCTATTGATAAACTGAGATAAGCTAAAATCTTGTAAATAGACAGCAAATCATTATTCCTTTTAATTAAGTTGTATTGATATTGGAAACGCACTACAAAACATTTTAATATCAATCCCTACTCACAAAAAAAGTCTGTTTAAAAAAAAGATTAAAAAAGAAGTAAATAGGCAAACAACACTTTCTCTAAAAAAATGCCAATGTACAGTATTAGCACTGGTCCAAAATTGTTTACTGCTCAAAATGAAGTGAGCACGAAGCATTCCACTCTGCGAATGTGCCATGTCAAATTTAACCTAGGAAGAACACAAGAACTAAATTACCACCCATCTCTACTCCGTCTTGATATTTGAGTAAAATGTAGTCTGTTTTGACCGCAGTAAAACCAGTAACAAACCAGAAACCAAACAGGGCATGCTCCTCTGCCAGGGAGCATTGATCACATATTTCATGTCTTTCTTCCAGTGCTATAATTTGAAAGGGATGCTGGCAGATCACAAAGAGGTGCATCGTGCTGTCTATTTAAACGGACATGACTGTCTTTCTTGTGATGACAAAAAAGAAGGCTTGCTACTCTAAGAGTTGCTACAGAACAGTTTTGCTTCCTCTCCATGACATTTGGAATGTAGTAAGAAGGGAAGAATTTGTTTCCTGCTCATGTCTTGCCCTTATTAACACAGTTATGCTGCAGTCACTTGGCTTCAGCAACTGGTTCCTTAGGGTAAAAACAAATGTATTGCCTAATAATCTTAAGCAGGAGTCTTGTATGAAGAGATTCCCACAAACAGCAAATTTGGTCTGAAGCTGCTTGTAATACCTTTATCTGAAAAGTTTCCTGCAGCAATAATTAATTTTGCCTTTCTTCTTTTAGCAGAATGTGTTTTCTTATGTTTTCAGTTGTGGAGAATAAGGGAACTCACTTTGCATAGTCATTATGGTAACTAATCATAATCTATACATTTCATCATGTTTTCTTCTGTAAAAACAGTATTTAGTTTCTTTTCTAAAGTCTATTTACTCTTTATAATACTGGAAAACAACCAAATATAATCTAGAAAAAAAGATAAACAAAACTTTAAGAATATTAATCAATTAAAACGTGCTAACATTTTGGAAGGTGTACACAAAAATTCATGACTCTTTTCTAGTATTTAACTACTTGAAATTGGAAAGAAAGAGTAAAAAAGGAGCTACCTTTACATTTCTTCTCTTTTTTTTCTTTGTTTAGTAATGGGATACCATTTTTCTTTCCTCACTTTTTAAAATTTCTTTAATTTTCACCTTTTTCATGGTCAAAAAAAAAGTGAATATAATAATAAAATAATATAAAAATAATTGCACATATTCATTACAGTAAAGGTCAAAAAAAGCAAGAAGAGACCCAAATATGCAGCTATAAAGACAAAGGTTCAAAGGCCAAACTTTTGGAATGTGTAGATGACATTTGTAGCTTTAAAAGTATATAGTTCTGTGCTTGTTATTTCAATGTCAGATCTTAGGGGAAAAATATACATAGGCACGTGGTGAAACTGTAGGCATTAGATGTTGCAGATGCAACACAGAGTTGAAGAGGGAAAACAACACTGGCTTGGTCTATCTTCAGTTTTTACTTCTAGAACAAATACARCTAAACTCCTGCAATCAAAGATGTAGATGACCTGTTAAATGTTTAATATCTCATCAGTCAGCGGTTGCAAAACTTCCAAATACAAATTTCACATTAGATTACTTTTTTAAATATTAAAGAAACATATTTTTGTGGTTTCCTTACACAGTCTACACCTCACAGCAGCTCACAAGCCTGTATGGATCCCCTTAGGCAGATCACCGTACAGCCTCAAACAAAGATGCAAGTACTTGGTTCATTGGGCAGATGATGACTCATTTGTATTTCTCAGTCTGCACTCGGGAGCAATATTACGTACCATATGACCACAGCCTTCATAAATGAGTTTTCAAGAAATTCATCCCATGGCAGACTGGAAACAACCTTGCTATGTATTAGAGCTATAAAGCAATGTTTGGAAGACCTGACAGATAAATTGAATGAAAGGAAAATCCTCCATAATCCAGGATTCAGGTACAAGCACTTATTAAAGGAACATGAAAAATGTTCTAATTCTGATTTCTAGTGTAGACACATTAAAAGCAAACATATTTATTATGTTTTCAGACTATTTTTCAAATACTTTCTGCCTATCAGAATTAAGGGTTTTTTTATGAAGATTTTTGCAACTTTAAATGCTTTGAAACTTCCTTTATTATCTGTGCTGTTTTAGACTTTTTAACAATGGTTCAGAGGTTCCAAAAATCATTTTAATCTTGAATGTGAGCTCTACTCCTCCTCCTTTTTCTAAGCAAAGTTTGCGAATCTCCAGTTTCCTACACACACTCCTACTTTGGGACTAGTTTTGTTGAAAAACTCATCCATCTCTTTCCACAAACCACAGAAAAAGCTTTCTCATCTCTCAGCTCTTACTCAGAGACTTATAATATCTGAAGGGAGCATTCAATATGATGAACTTTTGTCATAGAAAGATAAGTCTTTTCAAGCTTCCTCTGCAATAAATAGAGAAAAATAGGCTTCTATGGAGAGTAATTATGAGCAAGAGTTGAACACTGGGGTTTTGAATCGGCCTCTGCATCAGTCTTTCTTTCTCAGGAGTGTAACAAGGTACTTTGACAGTGATGAAGAGTGTGGGGAGAGGATTATGGAAGTGATACTTGTGTGATTGCGGGCACATGCACTGCAGGTCAGGGAAGGAAGGAAGGAAGCGGTGGTAACTGGAAACAGTGTCAACGATATGTGAAGAATTGTGGTCATTTGAGAGGAAAGAGCATCAGTCTGGTTCTCTGGCCTCTCCCTACCTTTCTTTTTCTTCACTGGTGCATATAAAGGTAGAGTTTGTCTTAAAAAAAAAACACTTACAAAATACTACAGTGGAAAGAAAATAATTTCTTTCCCGAGTCTAGATAAAATAAAGCAAAGCAAAGCAAAGCAAAACAAAACAGAACAGAACAGAACAGAACAGAACAAAACAAAACAAAACAAAACAAAACAAAACAAAACAAAACAGAATGTGGTTGTGGACACCTAGATCTTTTTTCCCCATCCATCTGTGAAGCCACGTCAAGAAGATAACATTCAGTTGTTGACACTAGCTCACAGCTGGTTTCAGGTAGAAGTCTTAACTGTTGAGTTATGGAGCCACAACTTTCAGGAAGGTAAACATGGATTGAGCAGTCAAAGGTATCTGCTATTTCAGAAAGACATGAACATCATTATGCAGCATTCTGAAAAAATGAGAACTCTGAAAAGCAAATCATTAAGTTTTTTCTTAGGCATATAGATAGCAGCCTTACTACGGTTATGGACTGCCGTGCTGCACATTTCTTTGGTTCTTGGTTCTCAATTTTTATAAGACTATGGTGAATGTAACTTACCCGTGCTTTCTGCTCCATCTCCATCATTAATCTTTCATGTTGCTCTGCTATTGCCAGTGTTGCAGAATGAACTTTCTGATATATCATCTCTCCTTCTCTTGTCTGAAAGGTGAACAGCCCTTCTCCTGTGTCACACATCCTGAAATGATATTTAAGCAGAATGGAAGGAAAAAAATTAGTACTCTTTCATTTTTATCCAACTATTATAAAAAGTGCATACTTTGCAGTAGAAAATGCCAACTTTTATATTTTAACTCTGGAATTTTGAACATCTGCAAAATTATTTTTAACCAGTGAGGAGAGACATATTCCAAGAGATGTGCGCAGAACTTGATGAACATAACCTTTAAATTCAGTTTTAATCATCCTCTGAATAGTAAGAGAGAAGTTTTATCATAAAATAAAAACCTGAGGTAATACAGTCAGCTATTTACAGCAGTTTCAAGTGCCTGCACTGGTAAGTAGAATTTGAAATTAATTCTCTTAACCAATTCATGCCAGAAGTACATAGCATATCATAACATTGAAAAGCTGAGTTTTTAACAGAATGCTGACCAGTAAAAGTTGCTGTTATGATGATCACTACAAAGAAGATATTTTGAAATAGAGCATTAAGGGTGTTAAAATAGAACTCTGTCCCTTTAGGAGTATATTTATGTAAGGCAACATAAGCTATCCTGATAATTTCAAAAGCCATTCAGTCTGAGTATATTTGGCATTAGCAAGAGTATTTGTGTTGTATAAGAAGATTAAATAATGAAAAATATTACATAAATACAATTACTTTTCTTGCCTTTAGAGAGTAAATGCAATATTATCCTTAACTTCGGTATTCCTGTGGCATTGTTCTAAGAAATAAGAGTGGTATGTGGTAAATGGGATGAGCTAGAGGGCTGTTAAATAGAGTATGAGTAAACATTATTAGTTTATTGAATAACTTCAAAGGTTATATACTTTATTAAACAGCAGTGCAATCCAACATATTCAGATTAGTGAATTATATAAAAAAAACTTACTGTCTTGTGTGTATCTTGATAAAGATAAAATTATGCATAAATAGCATTTCCTTCAATAATTAGTTATTGATTCACCAGGAACAGCTAATGTGTGTCGGACTTCTGTATTTATAAAGAAATCTTTATGAAATATTAGAGTTGAAACTAATTTGGTTTAATGATTTAATTTGATCTTATACTTCCTATAATGATTTTCAGAGTTACCTATGATATAATGTGATATATATGTAATATATATATATTTATATATATATATATATATAATATATTGTGATTTTTTTTCTTTTTCATTTTTTTTCAGAAAGTGTTGCCTCCAGTATGAAGCCTGAAAATCTGGGCATATGAAATTGCTAATCATTTTAGAAGAAGTTGATTTCAAAGCAGACCTAAGTTATTCTTATTAACTCCTACAAAAGCTTTCTCCATACACTGGAAATATACACAGTTTTAGGGAGTTCCTTCTAAAATTTTATGCATATGTGTGCTTGGGGAGAGCAGAAACAGGTGAAACAGAAGTGCTTAGGGAAGGAAAATTCAGAATGAACTCTTAGATCAGCCAAGATGTTGAATGAAAARCTAGTGTAGACCAGATTCCTGACATTATATACACCTACACTKTTGAAACAAAAATAGCCATGACTATTCTGGTAAGTGAAGAAAATGCATTTCACTCTGTAGACAGCTATTATTTCATCAGCATTAATGGGATGTGCCAATTAACAGACAAAAAAACAGTTTTGTACTAAATTCCAGTGGAGATCAAGATCCCTGCTGTAAACATTTATTTTATATCCTTAGCCACAATCTTCCAAAGAGCTCTGGGTAGAAATAAAATGTCTTGAGAGTTTTGCAACAGTCTTTCAGGTCCCTCAGGGCGTCATATAGCCGGTACTCTGTTTTTGTATAAAGAGATCTTAATAAAATTCCAGCAGCGTGAAAGAGAAAGTCTGGAAAAAATGACCAAATTTCATCCTCCTTTCAGAGAATGAAAAAAATCCTATAAGGATAAAAACAAGGAAGTGGGCAACACAGTGTGACGAAGATGAAGGATTTAAGCATCACCACCAGTACAGACATGATCAGATCTGTGTTGCTCCTGTGAACTGCAAGTGGAAATGACCCCACTGGCTGCCACCACAGAAGGTGGCCCCATGGAGGAGGCTGCGCTCTGCAACAGCAAGGGACAACCACAACCTGTTGGCAGCCTCCCAACCCAAGTGTTGGGTTCCTGAGGCGGTGAATCCTTTTGATATAGTGAAGTTCTTTCATTCAAATTGTCAATATAATATAGAAAGGAATTCCCTTCCCTCTCCTACTCTCAATTACTTCACAAAAATTGGCTAGATCTTACTTATGAGAGTAAGCACAGGTGCATGTTTTGGGCTTAGTTTGGACTTTCTAGAACAGTGAAATGCAAACTGATTTAGAGAAGTGTCAGGGAAAATCTCCTGAGTATGATGAGGATAGGTTACTGGGAAAGGAACAAGTGTGCTCTCCTGTATCCAAGAATTTTGCTGAAAAGMATAAGGAGTTTTACTTAGTTGCCCAAAAGCAATGGGCAAGTAGATAGGTTGAATCATACTTCTTGACTTGGTCTATTTACATTCAAAACACAGACAGGAGAACAAACATATTATTTCCTCTATAGCCTCTGTATTATATTATTTTGTCTAGATACCAGATAAATGTCCATCTAAAACTGCATTTTCAAGTTTAGCCTTGTCAATATGTTGTTTTAGAGTGAGTATAAGATTCAAATTTCTCTCTGTTCAAAGCTAACCCTGAAACACAGTTGTTCTGTTGCATTCTGTTTTGGTTACTTTCCACTATTATTTTTTAAAATAAATAAAAAGCATTGCTGTGGCAAATCCTGTTCAAAACATAAAAAGGSTATTGTTTTTTCTAGCAAACTTTAAAAAATGAAAAATGACACTTTTTTCGCCACAATATAGACCGAAACTTGTCAAAATTATTATTTTTTACTATTTTGCAAAATACTCTGCTACACTTTTACCTAATAAAGGAATTGATAACAATTTATTTTCTAGAAGCAATTTGGAGCAAAGGCAGAACAAGAATGTACCCTTTTCTTTTTTTTTTTTTTTTAACCCAATACTGCCAGGGGTTTGCATTGCAGTTCTACTGACTCAGTTTGACCTTTACTGTCAAAAAATGTCACTGATTTTATATGCTTTAATTTTTTTGATGGGAGATTTAACAGTCTATGTATGCTTGAAATATGCTGATGATAGCTTCTCTATTTCTGTGTTTCCAGCTTTAAAGCAGGTATGTCATTAACCTATGTCTTAGGATATTTAAGGATTCAATGCATTAAAATGTATGAAGTACTTTGACTGAAATAGAAAAGTGCATTTTTCTCCTGTATTATTACAGAATGATTTAAATGGACAGATAACGAAGCAAGTAGATAAATAACACCTGGAAATCATCATAAAATTTTTAGTACTGAAGCTTTTCACTTTTAGCAGATCTGATTCAATTCCTGTTTCATAGAGAAAACTGCACTGAGAGATCAACAGTGAAGTTCCTTGCTTCTACTCAAAGGTAGGGCTTATTTTCAGGCCAAGGAAACTTTCCAATCTTATATATTGTCAGATTTTTTTTTTCAATATTTCCCAAATCCACAGTATGATTTCCCAGTGCTTCTGCTCACTATAGCAATCTCACTCTTTTAGGGCATAATCAATAATGTATATTAAACTCACAGAATTCACTCCAACACAGAAATTTTGTTGACACAGTCCATTCAGTTCTTCAAAATTCTAAACAAAACTAAAACAGTAAGTACTTCATTGTCATCATTCCTTTATACATCACTATCAAATGCAATGTTCAGATGGTGGTGGCCCAGCAGCCCAATAAAACGCAGTTCCTTTGTCTGCATTTTTCCAAATATAACTAAACCGGTGTGATTCACTTTTTCTTTCCAACTAATGACCAAGTTCGCTGTCCTCTATGGACCTCCGGCCATATGCATAAACTAAAAGTCACAGGAATGATTAGTAAAGTCTCCACAGTATTAAGACTTATCCAAAGAAYAGAAATAACTGCTTTGTCAACACATGCTAGATAGCACGGCAGGAACTTCCAGGCTATCCAGGCTAAATCAACTTACATTGCTTATTTTAAAAAAACTCCTTTCTTTCTTACTTACATACACTGTATCTGCAACCTAAATACCAAATGAATTGTTAGGAAAATGCCATTGACAAGACAACTCATTTTTTACTATAACTCATATTTGATTTAAAAATTTTCTCCAAAGAGAAAAAAAATACCATAAAAAAAACATAAAAATAAAACTATGGAAATAAATGGTATTTATTTCTAAAATGCTCTCGTGTCATGGTTGAAATATTTTGAAAGTTTAATAGAGCAATATTCAGCAAGTGGATGTATGAGGCATGAAAGGACGGGAGTTTGATATCTCAGTTTGATTTGATTATTTTTGCTAAAGGTAAAATGTATTTTCAAASAATCATAAAGGTTTTCTGAAAACTGAGATGTTCAGAAACACTACTTGCTATAAGTCTTTTCAAAATAAAGGATATATAGCAATTGCAACTAGACAGATTTTAGCTCGTCCTATATCAAAATCTTATTTTTTAATGAACACAGATAATTTATTTTTACCCACAAATAGATTAGCATTGAAGAAATTTTGGCTGATTTGTAAATACATTAATCATCCAAACCTAAATAAACCTAAACATTCTGAAGTAGGCACTGAACAAAGAACTGAACTGCTAGGAATCACTAAGGAAGAGTAAAATGTTTGAGTCATTAGCTTGGGAGTCATCCTTTCCCAAAGAAATGGAATTAACCGCCAATGTTTGCCACTGCTTGCACCAGGGAATCAGCTACTAAGCATATCACTACTGAGCTCTCTGGACCAATGCAGGGAACCTCTGCCTCAAATCTGCCATCAAGTTTAACTCTATTAAGAGATGTTGCCTTCTCAAAATGTGTCTTCTCTTTTTGCAAAGCAAATCAAGACAAAATACACAGTAAAAACAGCAGATTTTCTGTTTAAAGACAGAGGTAAATAATTGTTGCCTTAATTTGGCATTTTCAGCTCTTTAGAGAGACATGGGTTTTACAT